TGCTTTTTAATTTTTATGATGGGCACTTAGCCAAAGGTATTTGAAGGAATTTTATAAAAGGTATTAGAAAATGAAAATGGTAAGGTCATTATGTGAATAAGAGATAAGATGTATTCTGAGTGAAACAGTTGATATCTTTTTACTGGTTCCTAAGATAAAGGGTAGTATTGTTCCAAGACATTATCCAGCAGCTCAACTTAATTGTTTTGCTTGTGATAGTGTGATACTAGGATGGCTTAGGCATTTATTTAGTTTATTTAATTTAATTGATCAAACCTTAAGTCACTACTAAGTGGTTAGTCTCAGAGACCAGCTGTGACCAAAGGGCTCAACAGAGATTGGCTGAAACCAAATGAGGTCATCAATTGAGCATTGTGTCCTAGGGTGCTGGGGAGAGAATAAAAGGGGGTGCAAGAGCCCTGACACACTGGCTCTTCAGTAGTTTCTGAACATGTAGACAGCAGGATATAAGACAGGTCAGTAGAGAAGCAAGCAGGTACTGTAGTAATTGACTAAGGATCTGAGTTAATGTGAGTGCTCAGACTATGAGCTCTGATGCTAGAAAAAGAGGTGTGTGTGGGCAGGGGTGAGGGGATGGATAAAGGGGGCAGATTAACATTCTCATCGAGTGGGGTTGGGATATACCTTAAGTAGGGAGTAGGAATTTTGAGTGAGGTTGGAGAATGGGAAGGGAACAGGGAACAGATATTGTTTATTGGGAGATAATCATATTGTCTTATTGTGGAACAGAAAATTCACGTTGAAAACGCAGTAGGAAATAAGCTGATACCATATTTGCTGGTGGAGACATATTTTAAATGCCAAAGAACAACACTTAAACTTAATCTTGAAGGTTACAGGAAGTTAATAGGAAAGGGACACAAATCCCTACTGAATATGGAATGTAAAACAAACAGCAACAATACTTAAAGGAAATATTTGCCTTTTTCCTACATTTTCAGCATCAAACATGTGTTTTTGTGGTCAGAAAGAGGGAGAAAGATAGATTGAGCCAGAAAATGTACTGAACTCTGTACTTTGCCACTCTGGGATGGCAAAGGGTTCCTTAGGGGATTGCCCTATTGGAATGAAGGCAAAAGTAAAACTCAACAATAACCCCAAGTACAAGGCAGAATTGGGGAAGGCATTGAGGTTTTTATGCTTCAGGGATTTCTAAGAGCCCTTGTTTGTGGTTAAATGTCTGATTATAGCAGTCTTTGGTTATTCCTAGCCAAGACAGCTATTTATACAATGGCAGCCATGTCTCATCATAGAGTGGACCCTATTTCTGATGAGAGAAACAGAAGTTCATTGGGCTTAGTCCTAGGCAAGTTAGCCCCTTTGAACCTGTTTCCTCATCTGTAAAATGAAGGCAGTGGTAGTTTTTACCTCACAATAAGGGCTCTTGTGATGTATGCATGAGGTACTGCCTGTCAAGCGCTTAGCAACAGTGGTTGGTACATAGTCAATGCTCAATATTACAGTTACTATATATAATATATAATAGAATAATATTGATAATACTATATATAATAGAATGTAATATCACTAATACAATTAAGTGTTACAATATTAATACTTTAAAGAATAAATGTATTTTCTGACCTATAGAATTACTACTTACATTGCCTTAGGTGGGATTAGATGTCCCTTTGGCCTGGGTTTGTGCCCAGACCCAGGCCTAAATTTGAAGTAAACTGAACTTCTGGGTTTCGTGGCATGGCAGCAGGGTAAGAGGGTGTAGCAGAGTGAGACGCGATGGTGCAAGGTGTTGTGCCCATAGGAATATTAAATTCTGTGTCAGCCTTTGGTTTAACTTGGCACCGACTGTTATTCAAACAACGCAGCGTTGTAAGCAGCAGAGGAAGGGAGAGGCGGAAAATCAACACATTCTTGGAAATAATGTGTGGATTTTGCTTTGACTATTTTGTTTTCTCTTCAGCCACAAAAATGTTTCTTTGCTGTTGGGGCTCAAAATGAAAATCCTTTTCAGAACGTGGTACAAGCCTAAGTTTCAGAGGAAGCTTCCATTTAAGATGACAAGGAGTTAGCAAGACTTCCCTTGATACTTGTTTGTTCCAATATGAGAACTCCTCACATAGCGTTATTTGGCCTAGGGAGAAAGCTTTGCATTTACTTAGAGCTCCTCAACCTCATTTCCTGTACTTATGGCACGTGTTTCTTTTAAAATTGACATCTGTTATCTTTCCTGATAACCTTCTCTCAGTGTTTATAGCTGCAGAGATGTATCCTTTACCCATTCCCTCCATGTGTTTATATGTTAGGCTTTTAAAATTTTAGTCTAAAGACCGTTGGTGCAATATTTGTTCTTTAGTAGTCACTCTCTTGGATCTCAGACATCTGGCATGATGCTATAGGAGCTGGTCCTAAGACAATATTCAAAGTACAGGGAAGCTGTGTGTGACCAAGTCAATGGAGCTTTCTTGTTTTCTGGTTCTGTGGTATATATTTAAAGCAAATTTTCAAGCATAAAAGTTTGGGCATCACCTCTCCTTTCACTATACAATATAATAGCACTACAGTAAGTGCCCACTTTGTGATGTTAAGCTTGTGTCAAGATGATGTCATGGATTGCATAGGGAACTGATATTGTCTTTTACTCCCATCCTTCAAGAAACAGCACACACTCACTGGGCACTCAGTCTTTGCCCTTGAAGAGCTTACACTTTAGTTAAGAAACCAGATCTTAATACATAACTCTGTGCAATAATTAGATCAACTGGTTCATGATACATAACATGGAAATGTGGAGCTTTCTGCATACATGATTTAATAGGAATGTACAATTATAAACTTCCCTTAAGAGTTAAGTTGTTTTTGGTTTAAACTTCAATGTTCTGTGTCTTACCATATGGATTAAAGGTGCATACAGATCTATGGCATTGTTGGTGTTAGGTATCAACTCAGATTTCTTAGAAGTAACTATTTTTTTCTCACAAGTTTATATTTTTATGGAGGGAGCAAGAAGGCCAGAGAAAGTTTCACAAAGTATGTATTTTCCACTAAACAGAAACTTGAGTCTTGACACCCAATAGTAATCTTTCTTTTCTCCTTGATTACACCTGTCCTGAATTTCTAGATAGATGAATGCTAGGGACTGCACTAATGTTCCTGAACAAAATGGGAGACCAGGATGCCTATAGCACTGAATTAATTCATTAGTATTTAACTCATTTTGTGAATTGCTTTGAACCTGACTAGATAAAAAAGACCTACCTATTCTCAGTTTCTCATGAAAAGTAAATGACCTATTTAAATTGAGGGCAATTTGAATGGCTCATTCAGTCACTAGTCACTCTTGAAGCCTAAAAGTTACCAGAAAGCAGGAAACAGTGAGTATCTGTAATGTCTAGACTCATTTCTTTTCTCCCCTGTAACTATAGGCATAGAATTAACCCATTGTATTTGTAGCTCAAATATATGCACTTATTCTTGTGTGCTGAGCAAAGCATATGTATATGTATCCTTTATGAAACAGAGACATTCCCCATTTCACAGATGTATCAAGGAACTTTAAATACCCTTTAGGGCTCTGCTGATTTGCATAATCCAAATTTTCTAGGCCTTTCAACTATCTGGAGACTTGTCTTTACATTTAGCCATTCCTGAACTTAAGCCCCAAACAAAAAGAGCCTCAGCTTTTGTCACCAATAGAGCACAATAAATTTTGTTCAGGAGACCCTGAAGAGGGCTATGTTTTTGTTCCACTTTACCCGTTAGATTGATTGCCTCTGGACATATGGGACAGAAAACTCTGGTGATTTATTCCCATTTTGTAAGCACAGTGAGCTCTAGTTTTAGCTTTACTGTTAGTTGTGTGACTTTGGGTGTTTCAGCCTCTTTGTGATAAGCTGGTTCTTGATCTGAAAAACCCAGGGTGCTGAAATATACAGTGCCATTCAGTTTTAATATTTTAAATGTGGAGTGAAGGTCACATTTACCTGACATTCTCTATAGCACTTTCCCTTTTTAAAACTTTGCAGCTGATGGGGCGCCTGGGTGGCTCAGTCAGTTAGGCGTCTGACGGCTCCCGTCATGATCTCACGGTTCGTGCCCCATGTCTGGCTCTGTGCGGACCACTAGCCTGGAGCCTGTTTCAGCTTCTATGTCTCTCTCTCTGACCCTCCCCTGCTCATGCTGTCTCTCTCTCTCTCTGACCCTCCCTTGCTCATGCTGTCTCTCTCTCTCAGAAATAAATAAAAACATTAAAAAAAAAACTTTGTAGCTGATAGTTCAACTTACATTTCAGTATTAATCACTTCAGAACATTTTCCCTCAACTTTCCAATTGTTTAGAGGATAATAGAGGAGAAAGATAATGGATTTTGCAAACGTCTGTAGGGAAATTGTCAAATTCATTAACAATCTCTCATACCTAGCTTTGGAATTCTTTCAGCAAGTGATTATTTCCCACAATCTATTCACTCTTAATGCCCCCCTCTCCACTGCATGAAACAATGTTCAAAAATTGAAAAGCACAGAACAAGTGAAAAAGAAATAAGCTTAATTCCACCACTCAGGAAAATGTCACTTTTCCTCATTTTTTGTCTAAAAACATATGACTGTACGTGTCGCTTTGGAATATGCTTTTTCATTGGAAATATATTTCTTGAGGATATTTAGTCATGTAATACAGATTCTTAGGTCATTTTTAACCTCTTTTCATTCCTTTTTTTTCCCTTTAGGGCACCAGGGGCTGGCGAGGCCGAATCTCAGAGCGCTGCTGGCGCTGTTGGTGATAGAACAATATGATCAAATTATAAGGGCGGGGGGGGGGCGGGAAAGATTCCTTGAGAGGAAAAAAAATAAGAAAGCTCCACTTGCAGATCTAGGAAATTCCCGACAATAGAACTTTGTATATAGTTTTCGGTAACCTTCAGCAGGGGGCGCTCGGAAATTGTCGACATTTTTCGGATAGCCTCCCGGACTTTACCCTCTAGAAATTGTACAGTGTTTCCGGCTCTTCTCAGTTGTAGAAGCTCGTAAGTTTCCGGCAGTTTCCGGGGAGACTCGGGGACTCTGCGTCTCTCTCGCTCTTTTCCGCTCGCCTGGTGCGGCGGGGCAGGGTGCTGAGCTAGTCATGGCGTCCCCCTCTCGGAGACTGCAGACTAAACCAGTCATTACTTGTTTCAAGAGCGTCCTCTTGATCTACACTTTCATCTTCTGGGTGAGAAACCTAGGAGCCCGGGGGCGGGTGGGGTCGCGGGCTTTGGTGGGAGGTGTGACGCTGAGCGGAGGGCGCTCAGGTCTGAAGTGGGGAGGGATGCGACCGAAGGGTTTGGCCGGCTGTTGCCGCCGGACCCCGACGGTGGCAATGAGTTGCCGGGGTCTTGCTCGGGCATCTTGCCTGCGCCGGCATCGGAGTGCTGGATGGTGGCAGCCAATAGGCTGTGTTAAGACACAGACACGCTTAGGGTTCGAATTCGAGGCGAGAGTCGAGGAATGGAGTTAACACCCCAGAGCTCTCAGAGGGTGTCCCCGAACCATTGCAAGAGGCAAGCCTTGCCCCGCCCCTCTAAGAGCTCACTCGCATAATAGTCTGTTTCTTTTCACTGCTTCGAAAAAGGGGAGTATTTCACCGGTAAGTATGGTAATGGCTGCCCTCCCGCCAACCTATCGTCGGGCTTCCTTTTGTGTACTATCCTTTTGTACGCAGCGCTCAACTCTGAACTGCGCTTGGGGGAGGGGGAAGTTTCAGGAACTCTAGAAACACTTTTTTCCCTCCTCCAGGAAGGTGTTCTTCCTATGGCGGGAGTAAAGCAGTTATGGAATTGTGATCCCTAGGACAGATATCCCACGGATTTCTGTTTATACCAAAAAAAAAAAAAAAGTTCAAGAAGTTTGTTAAGATGCCTTCTCCAGCTGCTCCCTGGTTTCGCCCTGGTTACCTGGGTTACTTGGTGATCCAGGGTGGATTTATCAAGGCCTGTCCTTTTGTGCAGATCCCCTTCCTATCCCTTGTCTCCCATATCCCAGCCACAGCTCTGTGGCCACAGACTGCTAAATTAGTACACCTATTGTATCTTAAATATCCAGTAGTTTGTGGTTTGAAGGTGCTGCTGTGTACAGTGTGTAACTTTCCATTCTCTGGTTTCCCACATAGATCACTGGTGTTATCCTTCTTGCCATTGGCATTTGGGGCAAGGTGAGCCTGGAGAATTATTTTTCCCTTTTAAATGAGAAGGCCACCAATGTCCCCTTCGTGCTCATTGGCACCGGCACTGTCATTATTCTTTTGGGCACCTTTGGCTGTTTTGCTACCTGCCGAGCTTCTGCATGGATGCTAAAACTGGTGAGTCCTTGTTTTCCTTAGAATTGATTCTTGGTTTTGGAATAGTCTTATGTGGTGTAGGCTTTGTTTCTTAAAACTGGCCATGGCCATTTAGGATTTTTTCCGTTACTTCCCAAGTAACATTTCAGCTGCCAGTTCCCACTTTTGTTGTGTTTTCCCTTCCTTTTTAATAAAAACATGCTGAACTGATTGAGCAGACTATATTTTTCTTTGACTCCCTTTGTGGCTGTGATGTATCTTCTTTATGCTGACTTGGACTTTCTTTTTATCCCATAGTATGCAATGTTTCTGACTCTCATTTTTTTGGTTGAACTGATTGCTGCCATCGTAGGATTTGTTTTTAGACATGAGGTAAGCCTGAATTTGGGAACCTATTAATATGTTAAAATTTATTGTTCCAGAGGAAAAAAGAGTTAAAGGCAATTTTTAAAAGTTCAAAATTCACTCTTAAAGCTTACTTTTGTTTAATGCTAATTTTTTCAGCCTGTAGCTGACAATAATGGATTTCTTGTAAAAATTCTAACCCATTTTTAATAAAAAAAATTAGAAAATTGTAAAGACTGACAATCACCAGAAGGAAATTACAGGTACCCATAATGACATGTATTTCCAGTTCTTTTTCTGTGTGCAAATACCTACTAAAGTGGAGATAGTACAATTTATAACTTTACTGATAGGAAAATATTTAAATCACAAAATTGATAACACAAATTTAATACCTTCTCCACTTATGCCACACATTTTATTTATTTATTTATTTATTTATTTATTTATTTTTTATTAAGATACAGAGCATGAGCAGGGGAGGGGCAGAGAAGGAGGGAGACACAGAATCCAAAGCAGGCTCCAGCTGTCAGTACAGAGCCTGATGTGGGGCTGGAACTCACGAACTGTGAGATCATGACCTGAGCCAAAGTCAGAAGTCGGATACTTAACCAACTGAGCCACCCAGGTGCCCCATTATGCCACACATTTTTAAGAGATTAGATATACTTAGTGGAAATCATCAAAACTTTAATATTGAATTAGAAATCATGGTTCCACTGTTAAACCTGGGGTTGGGAAATCATTTGGTGAGTAGTGAAGGTTCCTCAGTGAGAGTGTTTTACAAAGTGTGGTAGTACAGTCTACCAAAGTAAGGTTTTGTAGCTTAAAAATTCTATAAGCATCAAATTTGTACTTGAAGTAGAGAAAAACTGGGCGAGGGATATAAGAGTACAGAGCTACCACTTGAATAAATGCTCCCATAACACTTTAACTTGAGTGGTTATCTTTTATTGTAATGTTTTGCTTAGTAATCCTCTCAGTTAGACTATATCCCATAGAGGACAGGATTGGACCATAGAAATAATTACCATACACGTTGCTGTTGTCAAAGACATGACAGATGTGGGGATTTTTTATCTGACCTGGAAACCAAAGAAACTTTCTAGAATCTTTATTTACTGGCATTGTGTTTCTTTGCTGTAGATTAAGAACAGTTTTAAGAATAATTATGAGAAAACTATAAAGCAGTATAACTCTACGGGAGATTATAGAAGTGATGCCGTAGACAAGATTCAAAATACGGTAAGTAGTCATAGGTGGTGGCTTCTCAAGAGGGGAACACATTTCTTATCCCCTTAGAGAAGAGGAATAGGCCCCTGGCTACTAGATGTTATCCACTTGTATGATTTTCTCGTTACAATCTTAGATCAGGAGAAAATATGTCCCTGGAAAGAAGGGTGGGATGATACTAAGTGATAGATCTCCATTTTCTCCTAATCATTGTCCTCACATCACAGACCAAGTACTGTTAGTACCAACTACAGCAGGAAAGGAAGCCCAGTGCAAAAATGTTACATTTAGTATTAGGGGGAAAAAGGTGCTAATCTGTTGAATTACAATGCCGATTGAGGACAGCCACTTAAAAATATTAGGATATGGATCACTAAGTATAATATTGTTTTGAGTACAAATTGCACTCTAAAATGATAGGTTAAATGTTTGACTACAAAGTTATGATGTAAACTATAAATGTTTTTTTTTTTTCAGTTGCATTGTTGTGGTGTCACCGACTATAGAGATTGGAAGGATACTAATTATTACTCAGAAAAAGGATTTCCCAAGAGTTGCTGCAAACTTGAAAATTGTTCTCCACAGAGAGATGCTGATAAAGTAAACAATGAAGTAAGGAGTCTTTACAATATTTTTATTTGAAAATATTAACTGAATACAGAGTTGACTCCATCTTTAATTTTTAGTCACAATAAATATAATCAGAAATAGGACAACTATTAGTCTCAATGAGTAAATGAGGAAACTGAAGCTCAGACAATTTGACTTGAGTTCAGACCACGAGCAAATAACACTTTTAAATGCCTAATCCAAGAGGTGGAACTTCTGCTCTTCAAACTTCTGTCGAGAGCATTGTGCTTGAGAGGAGATAAGATTTGTTATATAAAAGAGTAAATTTTAATAAAAATGATAATCAAAGGCTGTGGTAGCTAAAGCTCCTCTCTTGGCAGAAGTGTTCCTTATTGCTTGTGCTGTACTTAATATTTTTTTCCCCTGCTCCCATTAGGGTTGTTTTATAAAGGTGATGACCATTATAGAGTCAGAAATGGGAGTGGTTGCGGGAATTTCCTTTGGAGTTTCTTGCTTCCAGGTAAGTCCTTGTAGTTAGGAATATTTCATCACTCTTGTTAGGTGTAAACTAGAAGTTATCCGCTGTGAAGGCGTCAGGGCACTTCCATAGAAGTCACGTTTTCACAGAGTCTCAGTTTCTCATCACAGTATTGAACTACTTTTATTTTGTATTAGAAACTTATGTAGTCAGTTATTTGCATTTGGGTCTTAAATAGACCGAATAAATAAAACAATAGCTTTGTTTTATTTTGGAGGGATATTTTGCTATTTTCATTCCAGTTTTTGATGCCTTGGATCTTCTGTTTTCCTGCACTGTTTTCCACAATTAGAATTCTCTAAATTTTATTCCTGATTTACCAGCTCTTTTGACCCCATAGCCTGTCATGCCTTGAAACTACAAAAAGCAAGACTTAGAATTAACTCCTAGTAGTACATACCTGGCACCCTTTTGGGAATGGCAGCTTTCCAGCATCATAGTTTATTAACTAAACAAAAACATCAGATAGATGAGAACAGTGTTTTTCGGTGTAGTCAAGATTCTACAATGTGATTCATATTTTTCTTTCCTGGGCTGCAACTGCCTGATTAGTTGCATGTAAGGTCTGACTTAAAAAATTTAGATCATATGACCCCACATTCAATATGTGCCTGTTATGTTGGGTACCGGCTGTGTTGTGGTTTTAAACAATTTTTTTAGGGGATGGGAGTTTTTCCTATATTAAACATCGTGGAGACAAAACTGAAAGAATCAATACACTTGGTTTTGGAAGCCTAATCTTAACGCATTTCTAAAGCAGCTGGTGTAACTGTGTCTCAATCTGCATTAATAGAATAACCACTAGCACGTTTGAAAGGTTCTAATTTGGGACCCCTGGGTGGCTCAGTTGGTTAAGCGTCCAATTTCAGCTCAGATCATGATCTCATGGTTCGTGAGTTTAAGCCCTGTGTTGGGCTTCGTGCTGATAGCTCAGAGCCTGGAGCCTGCTTCAGATTCTGTGTCTCCCTCTCTCTCTGCCCTTCCTCTGTTAATGCTCTGTCTCTCTCTCCAAAAATGAATAAACATTTAAAAAAAGAAAGGGTCTAGTTAAATAAAATAAAAAATTTAACACCTCATTTAGCCTAGCCCTCTTTGAAGTGCTCAAAAGCCACCTGTGTGTGGCTAGTGGTTAGCTTATGGCACAGCCTTCACAGATGGAGATTTTATGTGATGAGATGCTTATGCTAAACCATATCCTTTTTGTTCTGATAGCTGATAAGTTATCTGTTAAGTTTCCCCAAAACTTAATGACATTTAGGACTTTTGTCAGTGACTGTTGTGAAATTCCAGGTCATAGTAGTAGTAAAACTTCCCTTATATTCTTTGAGTGTGATTTAGATGCTGCCGAGTATCAAACACAGCTGTTGAGAAAAACTTCAGGAAATTATTAGTGAATTAGAAGAGAAAGGAAAATAAACCTATATCCTGAGGTCTTTAAACTCGTGTGTGTGTGTGTGTGTGTGTGTGTGTGTGTGTTTAATTTTGTTCTTATTTTGTTTTTAGCTGATTGGAATCTTTCTAGCCTACTGCCTCTCTAGGGCCATAACAAATAACCAGTATGAGATAGTGTAATCAGCAAATCATGGGCTTACTCCTCTCCAACTTTAAGGTATGTTCATTTTAGTTCTCAGCTCTGTCTTGGTGTTTCCTTCAGCCTGCTCGTGTGATGGATGTACTGAGTTTGCCAAAGTCTTGTTGAGTGGTGCATTCAAGTCTTGTTGGTACTGTGTTAGCCCTACATAGGCAGGTCATGTCTCTAAATACAAGGCATGGCCACAAAGGGCAGAAGGGCTTTTGGGAGTTTACCTACACATCAATCTAAGGAACCTAAGTGGTCCCCTTTCTGACAAATTTGTACCTACACAGAAAAGAAATGAAGAATCCCAGTTATGACCTTAGTTGTGAGGTTCCCTGGCAAGTACACTCTGCTCTTGACCCAATATTGGCATTTTCCCTGGTCTTTTATCGAGTTTTCATTTATCACACTTCCCTGGTGAACTATTCTTAGAGCTATAAACAGACCTAGCCCAACTTAGAACCCGATTAGGGGGAAATATGTGTTTCAATAACTTCAGTATTTGAATGGTAAACCATGAGAACTGTTTCTGGCTGAATTAATCCCCTAAGGTGTCCTTCACATTTTAATTGAACCACTGACTGGGAACACATGAAGGTCTTCATTAGCAGAGTAGATACTAAACATGTGCAAGTGAATACAGATATTGAAATTTGGGTGACAAGTAAATTAACTTTTTTTCTTCAATTTTAGGACATTTACATTCCCTCCTGTGAACTATGAGATTGCCTGGATGGAAGACAGTTTAACACTTCTTACCAAATAGACCAAAAAATTACATCAATAGGCTGATTCAGTCAAGACATTTGTTCAATATAGGTTCACCTGGCCCATTCATGTTAGATCATTGAAACCCCTGTATCACTGTGAAACACTGGAAGAGCTAGTAAATTGTAAATGAACTAATGTTGTGTTCCTCTTGACTTTTATTTTGCTCAATGTGGGGCCATTTATTTATTTTTAGAGAGAGAGAACAGGGAAGGGGCAGGAGGAGAGAGAATCTTAAGCAGGCTCCAGAGCCTGCCTTAGAGCTTAATCTTACTGACTGTGACATCATGACCTGAACCTAAATCAAGAGTCGTATGCTTACGACACGGCATAGAAGAGCTAGGTTCTACCAACGAATGTGTAAAGAAACAAAACCAAGGGACCCAGGCGCCTCACAATGTGGGGCTTTTGAAAGATACTGTGAATTTTTTTTTTGATGTAGCATTAGAGTGACCCATCTGAATTTGCTTACTGATGTAGTGTGATAGAAAATTGACCCTTCTGAACTGGCCACTTCCCAGACAAGTTTAAATTATTGTACAACTTGTATCAAGTTAAAATATTTTCATTAATCTCTGTTTTGCTGATGGAGAGTCACACTGTATAATTTAATTCTGGCCAGTATTTGGATAGTACTCAGCATCAGAGTTGCCAGATGCTGGGAATCGTCTCTAACCTGAGGCATTCAAGACTAAAAGCACTACCAAATGTTATGTTACACTTCACATTTCTTTGCCTCCAAATTAAGGTGTTTATACTGATGTCTTTATATTTCCCCCTACTGTTTGAAAGGTTCTAATTATTAATGGTGTTGGAATTACTATATTTTCCTTAGGAATTTAAAGCAATTCATCTTTATTAGCTTTAGCTGGTATTTTTCAGGTTGATATGACTTAATTGTCAACATTATGGTCACCTTTCATAGTCTTAGTTTCAGTTTGTGCCTTTGGCTAAATATAAATCTTTTACACGATAAATATTGTTTTCCTCTACAACCATCATTTTTAAATTAACTTTTTAAAAATCTCCCGGGATGTTGTTTTTGCTGAAAAAGCTAAGCCCCACATTTCTACTTGGGTATGGTTTCAGATATGAAATTTAAAACTGCAGTCTTGACTCTGGTCATTTTCATAAAAGTATTTGCTTGCGAAAAGTATTCTTTGTGAAAGGATTACCTTCTGTATTATGAAATAGCATATGCTTAGCATTCTCCTGAAGATCGACTATTTTGACAGTAGAGCTTACATTAAGAAGTTAGGGCCAACATGGATGGAACTTGAGGGTGTTATGCTGAGCGAAATAAGTCAGGCAGAGAAGGACAGCTACCATATGTTTGCATGTATAGGAGGATTAGGAGGAACTTAACGGAGGACCGTGGGGGAGAAGAAGGGGGGAAATAAGGGGGGATAGGGAGGGAGGCAAACCATTCTCTTGAATGTTGAGAACAAACTGAGGACTGATGGATATGGGGGGGAGAGGGGAAGGGGGGTGATAGGCATGGAGGAGGGCACTTGTGGGGATGAGCACTGGGTGTTATATGGAAACCAACTTGACAATAAACTATAAAAAAAAAAAGAAGTTAGGGCCAGTTGTAACCTGTACTTTCAGATTAATAAGGGAATTAATAATTAAAATTTGAGCTAATATGGGGAAATTCTTCCCTTGGTTTTGTTTCTTTACACATCCGTTGGTAGAACGTAGCTCTTCTATGCCATGCATCCACACTATTCTTGAATTTGATATAAGGGGGAGTCAATGACAGTTATAAGTTTGACAAAAAGTTTGACAAAAAGTACTAGCTAAGATTCATAGTGTCTTGGGTACATGTCTTTATATGCTTGGAGTTACTGCACAAAGAACATTCTCCATGAAAACGTTTGACAGGGCTTTAAAATTTTTTTTAAATGTTTTATTTATTTCTAGGAGAGAGAGAGAGAGACAGCGTGAGCAGGGGAGGGTCAGAGAGAGAAGGAGTCACAGACTGAAACAGGCTCCAGGCTCTGAGCTGGCAGTCAGCACAGAGCCCAACGCGGGGCTTGAACCCACGAACCGTGAGATCATGACCTAAGCGAAAGTCGGAGGCTTAACCGACTAAGCCACCCAGGCGCCATGGCTTTAAAATTTTTTTAATGTTTATTTATTTTTGAGAGAGAGAGACACAGAATGTGAGTGGTGGAGGGGCAGAGAGAGAGGGAGGCATAGAATCTGAAGCACTTTCGAGGCTCTGAACTGTCAGCACAGAACCCAACGCAGGGCAAGAACCAAGAACTGTGAGATCATGACCTGATCTGAAGTCGATTGCTTAACTGACTGAGCCACCCAGGAGCCCCTTGACAGGGCTTTTGACATAGGAAGATGGAGTGATAGGGGCACCTGGGTGTCTCAGTCATTGAACATCTGACTGTTGATTTAGGCTTAGGTCATGATAAGAGTTGTGGGATCAAGCTCAGCATTGGGCTCCATGCTAGGTATGGAGCCTGTTTAAGATCCTCTCCCTCTACCCCTCACTTGCATGCTCTCTTTTAAAAAAAAAAAAAAAAAAAAAGAATGATAAAACAGTTGAAAAATAGTGGCTTTCCAAATGTAGTAGATCAGATTTTTGGCTATTGAAATCAGAGAACCTAAAGAAGAAAATATTTAAAGGATAATCCAAGCAGTTTTCAAATAGGTGTATTTCACTAGATGGCCTAGAAGAACCTCAAGTTGTCTAGGTAGTTTTTTCTTAAAAGTTTCCCCTCATTGTTAAAAAGAAAAAGAAACAGGAGGTACAGAATGTAGAAAGAAAAAACACCACACATCACTCTGTAGATGGGCTGGTGTATTTATTTTAAGGTGGGTTTATTTTGGATGGCCAGTTACAAAAGTCCCTTATAGCTAATGTGTGCCTGCGCATACCAGACTGTAAAATTCACCTCTGGCTTCAATGTGCCAAAGGCATCCTGTGGGTTGTCTCACTTCCAGGCACCAGGTTACTTACTGCAGAATGGCTCTGAACTCCACCTTGAGAAGCAAAGCTCTACAGGCATATTTTCTGAACGTGTGTAAAGCCTGGCAACTTTTGCCTGTTCCTGTGGGGGGTTAGGTTTATGTTGTAGGCATTAAATTTTTATGGAAACAAATACCTAATGCAAGGTATAAATGCCATTTCTGTTTCTCCTCAGAGCTCACACAGGATTCTTTGAGACTTGATTTTTTTTTCAGTTTTTTTTTTTTAATATTTTTATTTATTTCTAGGAGAGAGAGAGAGAGAGTGCGAGCAGGGGAGGGTCAGAGAGAGAGGGAGACATAGACTCTGAAATAGGCTCCAGGCTCTGAGCTGGCAGTCAGCACAGAGCCCGACGCGGGGCCGAACCCACAAACCGCGAGATCATGACCTAAGCGAAAGTCGGACGCTTAACCGACTAAGCCACCCAGGCGCCTCAGAGACTTGATGTTTTTAACCTCTTGTCAGAATCCAAGTTGGTCCTTCGCCAATGATACAGTCAACAAAACTGATTAAACTATGAAAGGCAAAGCTATTTATGCATTTTTTGTGAAACTGAGAAAACTTTGGTTCCTTTGTGAGGGCTTTTGTATTTGTAGAAAAAAACCTAACACAAAGTATAAATACCATTTCTGCTTTTCCTCACCGTGTACATAAGATACACTGAAATTTGAGAGGCACCCGGGTGGCTCATTTTGTTAAGCGTTTGACTTCAGCTCAGGTTATGATCTCGTGGTTTGTGAGTTCAAGCCCTGCGTTGGGGTCCGTGCTGACAAGATCTGTGCTTCAGATCTGTGTCTCCCTTTCTCTTTGCCCTCTCAAACATAAAACACTTTGTCTCTCTCAAACATAAACATTAAAAAACATTTTTTTTAAAAAGATACATTGAAATTTGATTTTTGTTTTACACTTGCTGCCTTCAAGGTTGACACTTTGCCTCTGATGTGGCAAACCAAACTTTTTGAAATCAAAAAGGAAAACAAAAGGCTAATATATCAGAAAAGAATGCATAAACTGAAACAGTTATGGGAAATGAGACTTTCATTTTTAAGTCATAGGTCTAAAACTTCACCCAGATTCCTTGTGAGAGAAAAGCCATCATGATTTAATCATGGCTTTTCTATTAGGTACCCCTACCCCATGGAGTTTAGTAGAATTAGGCACTTGTAATGTTATGCCCAGATTGCGATCTCCCCAAAAATCCCAAGACCACCAAGGAGTCCGAGTAACGTATGCAAAGGCAGAGGGCTTTATTGCGGGCTTAAGCTCGGGCTCCCAGACCTCACCAACGCAATGAATCCATGTTGAGAGCCCCGAACAAAGAAGGAGTAGGGTTTTTATTAACTCTAGGGCAGGAAAGGGGTGATGGACAGGGACTACAACGTGATAGGACAAGGTGACGGCAGAGGTTGTTATGGCACAGAGGGATTGGTGAGTTTAGAGCAAGGTGGGCCAGAATAGTAGCCGGAACGTCCGGTACCTCCCAACCTCCAGTGATTGGTTCGGACACAGGGAAGGGCGGTGGCTCAAGCCTGCTGAGTCAGGCCTCAGAGACTTGGGTCTTCTAATCTCTGGGGCCTTCTGAAGCCTGTCATGGCGCTGGTTTGGTTCTTCAGTAAGAGCACAGCAAATGTTAATGAAATAAATGAATGAGTGACTGAATCTAATTCTAATGGCCCTCTAATGTTCTGTGAGAAATAACCAGTTGATCTAAATACCTCACTCCATATAAACCATTGTTTATATAATAGAAATCGCCTGCCCCATCAGGAACCGCTTAACCTCGGAAACCACTGCTAACTTCCTCTTGGTCAAATCACTTTTTGCTGCTTCTCTTTTTTGAACTTGTTGCTACATTCAATGCTGCTGAAGATTCTTGTTATGTTATTTGGCTTGAACTCGTAATATCCTGCTATCTTTCCTTTTTATTACTCTTTGTAGTTTACTTTACTGTTTGAATTTCCTCCTGCTTTCAAGTGTGGCTTCCCCCCAAAGGCTTGCATTCAAGTTTCTGCTCTTAGATTATGCTGACCTTGGAGGGATTAAATATAGAGGGTCATCAGACCTAACTAACCCTTTGCTCTCTGGTTGTATACTTTAATTTTTTAATGTTTATTTTTGAGAAAGAGCACGCATGAGAGAGAGGAAGAGAGAG